GCTAAGGATGGAGCACAGTAAACTAAGCAGTCAAGAGAAACTGAGTTTGCACACCTTATTTTAGTCTAGTTCTTATGCCATTTTATTTTCTCCCTTTGATTATTATATATGCAATTTATGTTCATGTCTTTGATGCTGTGTAAAACCATCAAATAAATTATTATTACCATTTCTATTTTAAATGTTTAAAACAAATGAATTTTTTTTTAAAAGTGTTTGAGGACTGCTATATATATAGATGTTTGAAAGGGAGGAATGTTTGATTTGATGTGTTTCATTGTAACATAACTTTTCCGGTTGCTTAAAATTTGTATCATTTTAATTCTCTGTAATCCCAAATTTATTTCAGCTCTACTTAAAAACCCAACCCCTCCCCAGAGGCGTAGCGAGGGGGGGGGGGCGGGGGGGGGGGACATATGTCCCCGGGCGCCGACCTTAGGGGGGCGCCAAATTGAAAGTTTGAGGGGGGGTGCAAATGAAAAGTTCGAGGGGGGGTGCAAATCGAAATTTTGAGGGGGAGGTGCAAATGAAAAGTTCGAGGGGGGGGGGGGTGCAAATCGAAAATTTGCTCCCGAGGGGGGCGCCAAATAGAAAGTATGTCCCCGGGCGCCGGGAAGGGTCGCTACGCCTCTGCCCCTCCCCCCCCCCCCCCCCCCCCGCCCTCCATGCCGATGAAAAAAACATCCCTTAAATCATCATTTACTTACACATTTGCATTTTCAGGTTGTTTTTATTTCTTTTTTCTTTTTTTACTTTCTAGTATATACGAAGTATAGAGAAAGTACTGTAATCGTGCACAAAAATAACATGAAATTTTGACAGTTTTCGCCGTTTTACTCCTCAGTCCTTCATCACATCCGGAGTATAGAGGACTTATTTTAATCAGGCAAAAATTATAAATACAAATATATAAACGTTTTGGCGTTTTATGCGTTATCGAGTCGTAAAAAACTGGACTTTGCAATTCTATCCGTATGTCTGTGTGTCTGTCTGTGTGTCTGTGTGTAAACACGATAACTTGAGTACCGTTACAGCTAGGTTGATGAAATTCCATATATAAGTATTTTATCAAAATCGTAGATCCTGATCAACTTTTGAGCGATTACCGATAAACAGAAGTGGTACTTTTTCTACTTTGAATTTTTCAAAAGCCTATAAGTTGCGTACTATTTTAGATAGATGCATGAAATTTCACACGTAAGTAAAAAATCTAATTTTCTGCCTTCTGTCAAATTTTGAATAATTTCCGGTGACCGGAAGTACTAATTTACGCTATTTCCGATTTCTCAAAAAACGCATGTAAATTTGAAAAAGTACTAATAATATCCCGCACTTGTATACACATTTTATTAGGCGTTCACTTGGTGTGGGACAGAGTGGTCTAGCGGTAGAGAGCTGGACTGCTAACCCGTTAGTCTTGAGTTCGAATCCGAGTTCAAGTGAGTAGACCGTCCCTGAGTCCACCCAACTCTGATGGGTACCTAACTCCTGTTAGGGAAAGTAAAGTCGGCTGGGCTTAGTGCTGACCACACTATCTCTTCATATGCCGAGGTCACAGAAACAAGTGAACTCTACTTCACTTGCCCCATAGACCGTCAGGTTTGAAAGGGAAACTTTTCACTTGGTGTGCAATTCTTTTTTTAAGAGATTCTATTGTATTACAAAAAGTTTAAGTTATTAAAAAATGGATAAAAAATATTGTCTATGTCCTGAGTTCCCATCCCTCGTAATTTTATATTAGAATATTCGAGAAAGTTTAGGGGAGATCACTCCCGTGTTTTTTTTTTAAATATTTAAACGTTTTGTATTAGGTATATTTATAAGTAAATCATCTTAAACGAATGAAAGTAGGCAACAAGTAAGAAAAAAGTATTACTATTGTAAATCTGTATCAGTCCTCACAAGCCGATGATGAAAACTGTAATACTAAAGCGAACATGCAAGGCAAACAGACGCTGTAAATTACATATTTAAGGCGAAAAAAAAATGATGTTGTGTTTACATTTATGGTTCCAAAATCTATAGCGATGACGGAATGATAGACACACTACAGCTTTTCTGTATAAAAAATTCATCATGTCATACGCTCTCTTTGGCTGGTCATGGGCCGCCGAATGTCCGGCACCTTTAATGACAACCTGGCAGAGGTTCCCTGTTCTGGAATAGAACCCAGACAGCGCCCCATCATCACCCAACCAAACAGAACGCTCTACGTTGTTGTACTCTTCTTGTCTGGACCACTTCATTGACAGCAGGGCCGCGTCAATCATAGCAGGACTTACAAGAGCGTCAAGATCGCCTCCGTAGATCAAAACTTTGTATTTCTCCTCAAGTTCGGCTACTTTGGATTTTTGACCTGATCAATGTATCTTTCATCATTTTTGTATTTTAACACTTAATTCTAATCACTGAACACAGGGGCGGAACTACGGTGCCGCCAGACCCCGCAATGCGGGGGGGGGGGGGGGAGGCCACTTGGGGGCCAACAGCCGACCATAATTAATTGGTTAGGGTCCCACAATCCATTGAGGTTTCAGAAAGTAAAATGTACGTTTATGGTATTGGTAGAACTACTATTCTATACATTAATAATTAGCAATAATATAGTAATAATAGTTTCGGTTTTATGTACGTTTACTTCTTTTTGTTTTACAAATAATGTGATGGAAAACTTGTATAATTTGAATTCTCTTCTTGAGTATTTTACAATAGTCTTCATTTTTCTAGTTCCGCAACTGGCACGTTGCTAGTGGTTTTGTAAAAACAAACAGATCTACTACAGTAGTGATACTCTACATTAGCTAACACAAGCTGTTGCGTTAAAGAAAAATATACATATATACATGAGCTGTAGTGTGAAAGATACGTAAACTTTCAAACCACTTCCATGACTTATTTCCCTTTTTTAAATAGTCAAAAAAGAATGCCAGTAAGCTCCTTTTAATAGATTTGTACTAAACAAATTATTAAGCAATTACATCTCTTAATTATTAGTTTTCTTAAAATACATACTAAAGAATGACACAGTATAATAAGGAAATGTGTTAAAAATTAATAATATAAATTAAAAGAAATAAAAAATAAACCTAATACGAGAAACCATTACACATACAAAGCTTTGATGTGCATATACTTTTGACGGGTTCGCGCGCAAGATACAATACGGCAGATGTATAAGGAAACAGAGATTTTCAAAACTGACTAAAGCACTCCCACACATGAATTGTTGTTGTAATTTGTTTAAAATTTAAAAAAAAGCAATTTATTTTTATCAAAACCCGATCAGCCTCGAATTGAGTATCCTATGTTTGTATTTTGTGTTTGTTTATATATATATATATATATATATATATATATATATATATATATATATATATATATATATATATATATATATATATATATATATATATATATATATATCCTAATTTATAAAAGGCCATGTGCGCTCTTCTCTCTCTCTCTCTCTTTCTCTGTCCGCAAAAAATTTTCGCCGGACATCACGTCAGAATCGGCAGCGGTATATGGAGAACTTTTTACGGACTTTTGTTGAAAATAATATGTTAGATGTTTTAAATGTATAACCACAATTTTACTTAAAGAAGAAAAATAAAAATTAAAGGCGTATTCGAATGTAGAGAAACAGTATTATTTATGCAACCGGAAAAGCATTAATATATGTGAAAAAGAACGCATAAAACTGTGACGTCACTATTGCTTATACATTAACTAATGACGTCATCTGCCGTGTTAAGAATGAAAAGAAATGAACTATTTCATTCAAATTTGATTTAGATCTACGTACACTATGAAATGTATACAATACAATTTTTCCGGCCTAAACTCATAAAATTTATTTTATGTATTTGGATTCTAGATCTAGAGATTCTAGATCTAGACTAAATCTAAATCTAAATCTACGCAATAACTAGATCTAGACGTAGACGCTAAGATCTAGATTTAGACTCTAACTTCTCTAAAATCAATTCCAAAAATAAATTTCTATATTAGGACTAAACTATTTCAAGACTTATTTATTTTATACAAAATCTTTGTTTGGAACTGGCTAATTTGGGATAAAAAATTAATTTGAAAGAATAGGCATATTCGCGTAAGTTAAGATTTTAAAATACGTGTTTCATTCTCCGTATTTTATAAGGTGCCTAAATAGCGGAGATGTTAGTGTACATTAAACCACGCAGGTGGTGCGGGTTCGAGACACAGCAAGTCAACTTGGTTAATGTATTCTTTTTTATTATGCTCGGGCTAAACTTTAAAAAAAAATTCTTTTAGGAATCTAGATCTAGATCTAGATTGTCGGGTGTCCGATAGGGCACTTCCCGGCGCCGCAGGCGCTTCAAATTTGGCATGATCTTGCCTTGGTGCGACAGAACACGGGGGCCGGTTGGCCGAAAAGTCTACGATGTGGGGGTCAAAACTGACCTCGACTGACCGGTACCTTATATGAGCTATAAATCGAAAAAAAATGTCCACGGAGGAACCTCTTCATAACTCTTGAGGTCGTAGACCGACCTTCGGGCGAATTAATTAAGCATTCAAATTCTCAATGTTTTCGAAAGCCTAAGCGAAGCTGGGCAGCATGCCTAGTATATATATAAAGGGCCCAACTTTATTTTTTGCGAGTTGGCCCTTTTTTCTAGTTCCGCCACTGACTGAACGTCGCATTTTCAACGCAAACAAGATGTCTCAAATAAGTTGAATTCACAACTTTATTCAGACTGTCGTAATTTGGATATTCACCTGAATAATATTTGTCTAAAAAAATCCATCGGTATTAAAAAATAAAAACCCTAAGTGTTTGTTCAATTCGCTATCATTTAATCTGTTATGGGGAAATACATAAAAATTTTCATTGATGTCAAAGATGCTTTAAATTTTCTTAGATCATGTATATATATATATATATATATATATGTATATATATATATATATATATATATATATATATATATATATATATATATATATATATATACCATTGCTTCTTATTTCAGTGGTCGCCAAGCACTTCGTCCATCACTTGCTGATACAGCCTTTCTGAATGAAAAAATTCATCATGTTATACGCTCTCTTTGGCTGGTCATAGCCCGCCGAATGTCCGGCACCTTTAATGACAACCTGGCAGAGGTTCCCAGTTCTGGAATAGAACCCAGACAGAGTGCCATTATCACCCAACCAAAAAGAACGTGTCGCGTTGTTGTATTCTTCCTGTCTGGACCACTTCATGGACAGCAGGGCCGCGTCAATCATAGCAGGACTTGTAAGAGCGTCAAAGTCTCCAGTGTAGATCAAAACTTTGTATTTCTCCACAAGTTCGGCTAGTTTGGTTTTTGTGCTGGTCAATATATCTTTCGCCATTTTATTTCTTAACTCGGAATTCGAAATACTGAGCGTCGCATTGTCAACGTGAACCATATTTCTCAAATAAGTTGAATTCAAAAATTGAGATAAATTTTTGGAACTGGGGTCTTCACCAGAATAATAGTTCTTTAATGGTAGATCCATAGCCTTTTTTGTGTATAACCTCATAACTAATTTAGCAGAGTCACTAATGTCTAATCTATTATGCTGAAATTCATCGAACATCTCTTTAATGTCATTCTTATGTAGATTTGCTTCCTTTCTTGTGATGGAGCCGACAGCAAGTAGATAATCAGAGATCGCAAGACTTTGCTCAAAGGGGTCAAAGAATGGACATCCAATATAAATACCTGTTAAAGGAAGATTCGATATTCCAGCTTTGATTTTTAAATGCAAATAATGAGCGAAAGCAGGCACGTACTTTCCGGCATAAGACTTTCCGCCAATGTATAACTCTCGTTTCTGATATTCAGGAAATAAAATGTAAAACTGTTGAATAAACTCATAAAGATCTTTAGAATAGCCATCTTGGTCGATCCTATATCCGGCGTTCCCACTGTCTGAATAGCTGAAGCCGACGCCGACGGGGTTGTCTATGTACAACATTGACATTGTCTGTGTCCACGAAATATTGCTACGTTCATATCCGTTGTTCTTAAGACGGATCGGTCCGTTCTCATCAAATAAACTCAATGTTGATGGACTTCCCGGGCCCCCATTTAGCCAAACCACAAGCGGAGATTTAGCCCCGGACGTTGAAGGAAAAAACCAGAAAAACAAATGGTTTCCGAGTTTCTCGTCCACAGTAATGAACCCAGCGTAGCTGGTTGGTATGACAGATTTCTCATCTTTTACAAGACTTAGATTCTGCGCTTGCTTGATTTGACTTTTTTTTATTAGAGGTGACAACATCAGTGGTTTGTCTAGAGAACCTTCAACTGGCAACAGTAGCTGAACAAAACAGCTTATAGTCAATAGGACGAACGCTGTAGTGGAAACCTAAAAATAAGCAAGATTTTAATTACTAGATCTATACCTGGTTATAAACTATTTTTATTTTTCTAAAACATAAATAAAAAATATCTCGTCGTCATCTCAAATAATATTTGTCTTTTAACTGTGCTAATTGTCTGTAGGTATTTATAATGTTAAACATGTTTTTACGCGTAGGTGAAGGAATCTCAGTAAGCAATGTCTTAGGCAAAATTAAAAAGGTTTTCTTGACGTATTAAATTAGATAGAACCATACTGTACCTTCATACTCGACAGACAAGAAAGTTTTCTAATTTTGGAGCCGGCAAAGTAAGATAGCATTTTGGTGTCGTACAAATACACGTTCATAAATGTCACGTGGTTCATCCACGTTTAATGCACGTGCACATAATGGTTATCCTTGCAGAGGCGTAGGCAGGTTTTGGGGTAAGGGGAGCGGCTAGTCGATAAAAGTCTATATATATATATATATATATATATATATATATATATATATATATATATATATATATATATATATATATATATATATTATTACAGAGCCCTCAGCGGCCCATTTTAGCGTTGGGGGGAGGAAGGGCGAATCTTAATTTTTTTTCGCAGCCGAATCGCACCCTACCAGGGCAGACATGCATAATTCAATTTAGTGAGCGACTGTAGCGCTTCATCTTATCCATTGTCTAGCGCACTGTTTTGAACGAACGTAGGCGCCATTGCGGTCACGAGAAAGCCTAGGTTGCCAAATCGAACTCCGTAGGGGCGCCGGAGGACACGCCTGGTTCAATATAGTCAACGATTGTTGTTGCCCATCGTGTCTTTAGCGTACAACCAATTTTGCAAACAACTGTAGGCGCCTCAATGCTCACAGGAGTGCATGGGGCGAATTTTAATTTTTTTTCCGCAGAAGTATTCTCAACAACTTCCCAAAGTTTCATGGTGATCGGGTGAATTGTTTACAAATGCATAAAAGACAGAATAACAAACACACATCTATAACTTTAAATATATATATATATATATATATATATATATATATATATATATATATATATATATATATATATATATATATATATATATATATATATATATATATATATGCTGTATACATTTCTTTGCTGCTGTGTAAAATACATTTAAATAGTACTTTTGTGAAGAACACAAACAAAAAAAACCACAAATAATGTGCGACATAAAGCAATTTATCATAAAAAACAACATACAACAGTCACACATAAACGAAACAAAAGACAATAAGAAACGCAATAGAAATAGTTTGTAATCTTTTTGAAAAAAACCTCCACCTATTTGATATAATGAAATATCACTATAATTGTCAGTCTGTCTCTCTGTCTATCTGATCAGAACGCTGATGAGAAAACAAGGAAATTTAAAGATGTACTTACAATAGGGCTGGTAAGTAGGTCACCAACCAGTTCTATGGGTCATGCAGGTTTTATTGAGTCGTAGAACTGGTTGGTGACCTACTTACCAGCCCTATTCTAAAGCTGGATAAGTACACAAAATAAAATATCGTCATTGATTCTAGAGTAAACAGAATTATAAAGCGTTGTCGAAAAAAATACACAATAATAATGACGTCATCGATACTGGACATTACCGCATAATGTTTTTGTCTAAACTTAAAAGTGGTCAGCATTCAGAGTTTATTTCAGGCATCTCTTCCGGGAAGAGGCGAAGCACCCCCACCCCTTCGTTGTTCTACGTTGGTTGATCCCCCCCCCCTCCAAACGAGATAAAATTTATATAGAAAATATTTACTATATATATATATATATACTATATATATATATACTATATATATATATACTATATATATATATATATATATATATATATATATATATATATATATATATCTAAAGGATAGTATCAAGATTAAGGTTGGGTATATTTGGTTAAATTTCCGGATCTGGTTAAAATGCCGATTCTGGATAAAAATCCGTTTTCAATGACATTTTTCGTTTCCAATTATATTTGAAGTTTATGTGGTCCTTCTGGTTTTGGTTTCGTTTTAAAAAAATGAGAACGGGCCTTTTATTTAGTGTTTAATTATTTTGATTTTAGCACCCCCCAGCCCCCCCCCCCCCGCCCACAAACCAAATCTACTCTTATGAGTCTACACCGCTTTTTATACACCATAAACATCCACTGTATGATACGGGCCATCCACATCAACAAAACAGAACACGCCACATATATCAACATCTCTATGCGCGTCATCAGCATCATATTACACTTCATGCACATCAACATCTCCACAACATTGCCTTTATTCAAAGCCACCTGTTACACATGAACTTTATGCATCTCAAGATTGTCGTTGTCGAAAATATATTAAAACAATCTGGCTCAAATCAATCGTCCTTTGAAATTTACAAATATCACACTGCATTGAGTATCAAACGATTAGCCCCTCTTCCGCCCCACACCCCCTCCCCAGAAGCACGTCGATCGTCCCCTGTTACAAAATATAGAAAATATATTTTTACCATTGTCTGCCTCTCCCCCCTCCCCAGATAATTAAGTCCCCACCAGCCATTTTCAATGGTACCATCCCCGCCCCAAAGGGGGGGGGGTAAAATGTGTGGGGGAAAAAAGCACTGTTCACATTTGTAGATCGTACTAAAGGTAGAAACTGGACTGGACAAGTGTTTCTTTCAGACTTTTTTCCAGGAAGGCATTGGCGTAGATATGGGAGGGCGGGTGGGGCGTCCGCCCCGGGCGTCGATCTTAAGAGGGCGCCAAAATGGGTGGGAAAGAGTTTATAATGTTATTTTAAGCTAGGATATTTTATTATACACAATCAGAGTTAAGAAAGTAAACTGCTACATATCTTTACACACTAACCAGGGGCATAGCGAGGGGGGGGGGGGGCGGGGGGGGGCGGACCGCACCGGGTGACACCATTTAGGAGGGTGACACCAAGGCAAAAAAAAGAGCAAAATATATAGAAAAAAACTTGAGGGGGGTTGCAAATCGAAAGTTTGAGGGGGGGGGGTGCAAATCGAAAACTTGAGGGGGGGGGGTGCAAATCGAAAACTTGAGGGGGGGTGCAAATCGAAAATTTGAAAGTTTGTCCCCGGGAAGGGTCGCTACGCCTCTGGGGGGGGGGGGGTGACACCATTAAGTGCCGCACCGGGTGACACCCGACCTCGCTACGCCACTGACACTAACTTAACTGTTTCGACACCAAATGTATAGCCCCAACATAAAAACCTTTCTAAATGAGAGGGAGGGGGGGCATTTTTAAAACCAGCTTTAATAACTATGTAGCCTAATATAGGGAGGGAAGGGGGGGGAATGTGATAGTTCGCCCTGGGCTCCTGAATATATTGCCATAACGATGTATGTTTTTTGGCTGCTTACTTCATGTTCTCCAATGCAGAAATGTTGACCAGTTCACTAAATGATTTTATATCTTCTTTTTCTTTTTCTTCATATATATATATATATATATATATATATATATATATATATATATATATATATATATATATATATATATGTATATATATATATATATATATATATATATATATATATATATATATATATATATATATATATATATATATATGGATCACTTTGCCTCGTGAGACAATGAAATTGCGCCACGATATTAAGACGTTATTTTCTTTTGGTGCAGGCTCTGTTGTGGCAGATAATGCAAATCCTTGGACGGCAATCTCTGCCCCAATTATTGCAGATCATTGTGGTATATTCACATATTTAGACAGCATTGTTAATTACGTCAACTACTGACAATAAAACTAACTATAAATAATAACATAACTAAAACAAAGCGAGAGTTTTTGCACACAAAAAAAAATGTCTATCGAAGATAGAGACAGAATGCAGATCTTTTTTTCCAAATTAATGTCCTAACTGTTCTTTTGTATATCAGTTTTTGCTGGAAAGCAACCATCTCTTCCATCTACATATTGTTTGCTTTGTATAATAAGTAGGCCTACTGGGCCGCCTACCATTGAATGTTAAATGGCAACCACTGGCCGTATACTATCTTTAATAATAGGTTTCTAGGAACTGGGAGACTTAGACATTGAAACTTTCTGAATTAAGTGAAGAAAGATGGCGCTGGATGTGCCGTGTATTAAGAATAAGGAGCAGAGAAAGTTTCAAAAGACTGGCTTTCTCTGGCGGCCCCATTTACCCTGGGCACCGACGGTAAAAGACGATGATGATGAATGTAGACAAATTACTATACTATGACTATTCTGATAATAATCTTGCAAAAATATATTTTAAAACATTTTTTTTTCGGTACACCAAAAACCCAAGTTGGCCGTTTTTGAATTAATATATCGATTCCTCATGTGTTGCATTTCGATGCTTTAATTAAAAAAAAAATTCACACTTTAAAAATTCTGACTGCGTTTGGAAACTGCTGGAATTCTCCTCCTAATTTTTATTTATGTTTATCTCAGTTTAGCACAAAGTACGAACAATAAGATTTTTGTTTTAATACAAGCTTTTATTGAACTTGTTTACTCTGTCTTTGTGTATGGGTCTAAACGGGAAAAACGTCTGGAGACGGTTGCTCGCTAAGTCACCCACTTACTTAACATTTGGATATTCTATGTATGTCAATCTGACATTAAAAAGATATAAATAGTAGTACGACACGTATCATTTATCGACCGGTTAGACCTTTGTAATACTTGCTCAAATTCGAAATGTTCTCGCTGTTGAATTTTAATTAACTACTTAGTAATTTAATTTATATTACTTGTTACACAGAAGATTTATTAACTGTATTTTGCAAATGACGAAGTAGATGGCCATTTTAGGTAATTTATAATATGCCGTAGTGGACGGCCATAATAACCAGGTTCACTAGTGACGTAGCAGACGGCCGTCATTGCTAGTTAGTTTTAACAGTGACGTAGTAGATAGCCGATATCTCTAGTTTAAAAAGTGCCAAAACGGACGGTCTTTACAACTAGGTTCACTGTAGGATTAGTGGAAGACCGTTATAGCTATTCTAACACGTGACCAAGTGGACCGCCGTTATAGCTATTCTAACAGATGATGAAATGGACAGCCGTTATAGCTATTTTAACAAGTGCCGTAATATATGACTGCTATACCCAGGTTATTAAGTAAATAAAGACCAAACCATCTAGGAATTTAGAGAAATATTAAACGACTGATTTTGAGTTTTGTAATAATTAGTGTTGCTGGAAAATCTTTGAAAATAATATTTATGTTGTCAGATGCGCGATAACAGTAAAACGTCCATTTGTTTTAATCAAACATAATTTAATAAATTCCAGTGCAGTGTTGTTATTACATTTCAATATTTTTCATAACTTAACTCTGGT